GGCAGACTCAAGGGGCCACGTGGGGTCCCAGCAATCACTGGAAATTACAGAAATGTCTGCGCCCATGTTAATCAAGCCTTCCAGAACTTTTCCATTGATTTTGTACTTACGAAGAAGTTTCTGATGACCAATCCGTTGGATTACAGCTAAAAGCTGTGGAGGGAAAAAAGAAAGCTCGTGCAAATTAATATCCATAATGGAAGCAGTAGGATGAGAAGGGAGCACCACCAAATGCGCCCAAGACTCACCCTTTTTTAATTGCATGGGCATATGGCTCCAAAACTGAACCATTATTGTGCCTACATAGTCAGGATCCAGAACGCCAGGAATAACCTGGATTCCTTCTTTTGCCGCAGAAAATTTGGGTAAAATTAAGCCTGCGACTTTAGGAGGTAATTGGGTGGTCATAAGCACAATTTCACCAGGTAAAACAGTGTCTTTGGTTTTTTGATTAATTAAGTCGATGGTAAAATCAGAGCGTGTATCCTTTGAGATGGTTTTAATAGTGGAGACTAACGGCGGGGGGGGGGCTCCCTATTTGTCCTGGCCCGGGAGTGGGGCCCCTAAGGAGTTTCCCGAACTCCTGCACTGATTTGCCCAATGATAGCCTTTACCGCACTTTGGGCATTTCTTGGAAGGTTTAGCCTTATTGGCATCACCATTCCTGTGCGCCCCACCGCCAGGTGCTCTGCATTCTTTTGCAAAATGACCTGGGCGATTGCAGTTGAAGCAGTTGCTATTCCATCCAGCATTCCTGTCACATAGGAAGATTTGAGACCAGAATCAACAATGGCCCTTCTTAATTCTCGCATTACAGAATAAGGAAGGGTTTCATATAGCACCTGTTGTTGTGCTGTGCCTGGGTTTGCATAAGAAATAGGGAAAGCAGATGGCAACACCCCAGCCCACTCAGACTCTTCCTCTAAGGATAGGAGCCCTTTCTGCCTTGCTTGAGAAAGTGCAACACGGACAGCTCCCGTGAAACAGGCAGGAGCTGAGGCAGGCAAGGGAGGGGTGGAAGGAGGGAGGGAAGAAAGTGGGGGAGAAGAAAGAGGGGGGGAAGTGGATGTTGGCTGAGACACAGCTTCTGAAGAAGCAGGTGCAGGCAAAGGAAACACAGGAGGGAGGGAAGGGAGAATGGGTGTGGGCTGAGGCATAGCTCCTGTAGAAGCAGACACAGGTGGGGGGGAAGGGGGGATGGATTGGGTGGAAGCAGGGGAAGGAGGGAGGGATTGGCAGGATTGTGCAGGAGGCAAAAGCTTGGGGTAAGGAGGGGGATTGTCTGCAATAGTTAGAAGTGCAGGAGCCGTGGGAGACGCCTGAGGGGCCAGGGGCCCTAATTTTGCAACGGCATCTGCACATATCTGCCAAGTAAGCAGACAATGAATAGGAGCCCTGGGTTCTGCAAAAAAAGTTTTTCCAATCTTTTGCCAAGCCTCTACCCCCAAGGATCCCGCCTCAGGGTACCAGGGACATTGAAATGCAATTTCACATAACAAACGTTCAATTTCCTTTAAAGAAACATGAGCACCTGCACCTCTCTGTCTGACTAAATGAAGCAGTTCAGTAGCATGCACTTTCTGGGACTTTGTAAGCTCCCCCCCCATACTCACGGTGTAGCCGGCTAAGACTTCTCCAGTCGAGTGAAGTATGAGGCTGTGTGAAGGGATCTGGCACGTCGTGGGTCACCAGATGTAGGAATGAAAGATCACAGGAGACGAGAGAGGCAGGTGCAACATGAGGCGTCTGGCCAGGGCGGACCCTGGGAGCCTGTTTTATTGAATATTACAAGCATTGCCACAGGTGTGTTTGTCGCTGATTGGTTGATACATACATACACAAAGAAACTTGTTGCTGATTGGTTAACATAAGCATAAGGCGGGAATTACATGTGAGAAATGGGGGTTACGTATGATCATTTATTATCGGTGGATTAAAGGCTGGGAATCGGCTGGGAATCGAAGGTAGAACTAGACAGGCATGAAGCCTCCTAATTAAATTGTAATGATGGATCATGGCATGAAACAATATAACAATCAAGTTCTGTAGATGTGGTCAGCTAGGCATGAAGAGCGGGTCATGTTGTTTTCCATGAGCTTAGGATGACTGAACAAGGAAAAGAATGTCCTGGTGTTTAGAACAGATCTGTACAGTGTGTGCAAAAGCAGGGAAAAGATTATAAGCAAGACTTCCCAGAATGCAAGAGAAAAGGTGCAAGGCTTCCCCAAAATGCAGCAGTTTTGTGCAGTTTTGTGCAGAAGGAGAACTAGCAGTTATATGCAGAAAGAGGACTTCCCTTTACTCCCCCAAGCTGCAAGATAAGCTCCTTTTAACTACATCTTTTCACAATAGCCTTTTCAAAGGGCATGACAACTATGTACAATATAATGAGCTTTGGCTGCTAAACCTCCGCCGTAAATAATGATGCATGCTATAAAATCTGACCCTCATGTCACGCAAGAGGGCATGTGTTTCCAAGGGCTGGGTTAGGAAATTATGTGGCTGATAAAGCAATGTTTATTACAAATGCAGATGGTCAGCTGAATGTGGAATGGTTTGAAAAAATAATTCAGTTAGTTTATTTTTCAAAACTTTTTCTTGCCTTCACTGTACCTTCATTTGGAACTGATACATGCCAGTCAGTATTTGAACTAGCCAGTCTTCCAGTATACTGTCCATCCACAACTGCCATTTTCTGTCCCTGCCCAACAGACACTCACCATTCTGGGGCCACAGAGCATGCTCAGTCACCAATGGGTTGGTTAGGGATGGGGTCATTTAATATTTTTCCTAAATATACATCTACTTCTACAAACTTTAGGGTTCCCTCCAAGCATGCTGATGTATCTTGTTTTTCAGTGGTTCTGTTTGGGCTACAATTCTACCAGCACCCACCAGCTGAGTTTACTATTAGAGGAAATAATTATTAGTCAAGTATTGTCATTTACATGGTGTTTTATAGGAGGTTCCTGCCTGGCTTAAGGAGCTTATTGAATAATTACTAAACCAATCCTTATGTTAAGTAGCAAGCAGCACCTAAGAAACTCTGAAGAGTGGCAAAATGTGAGGAATCTACCATTTCACCTTAACTCCCTCTGCTATAATAGCGTGGTTTATTTATTTACAACAATCTTTATAAACCATCAATTCACAAAAAAGTATCAGGGTAAAATAATTACAGCATCATCAAACTTTAAAATCTTAAAAATAGAATCGAGAACAAATGGCCAAAACTGAATCAAAATAATTCTTTAAAAATTTGCTTGATGATAAAATATAAGGATTTGAGATGCCTGTCTGCATTCAATAAACACAATGGTGGGGATGCATTTATATTTACAGTTTTTGTTACAGAATTTGTGGAAGAATGATATACATTCAATAGCTATTTTTCTGGAGGGTTGTTTATTTATAATAGATCCAAGTGGTGTTGAAAAAGCATTTCTTTTAACCCGGGGATAGAAAATGAACATGCCTGATTTTAAGGCTCATGCTTAAGCAGGAAAGCTTGTGATTAGTTTGCTGCATTTGCATTAGGTGAGCCACTCACAAGAGAACAATTGTTCCTCCAAATTTTAGAAGACGGCAAAGAAACAATGCCACTATTTCTGCTGTCTGTTCTATGGCACCTACCGTAGGTAATGGAGGTGGTACTCTCCATGGTGCTGAATAGATGCTTGTACTACTATTGAATGATCACTTGCTTGATAAATGAATGGAATGCACTTTAATCAAACACGCAATTACATAGTAAAGCCTTGGTGCTGTTTTTAAGCCCCATAAGTAATTAGCCTTACTGCCATTGAAGTATTGATTTCTCAAAGGTCACCACAAATTAAAGGGATACATATAATATTGTTGTTCTCTCTTGGTTATATGTAAATAAGGATATCTGCTAATGGGTTAATCACACAGAATTTGCAACAAAGCTTAGACAAAATGATATATTCTATTGACCATAGGTGTTCACCACAGTAACAAAACACAATTTGGGGGTGATCACCATTAAAACCATTAATTACCAATGGTAATTCTGCTGCTGACTTCAATGGGGATATTTCATACTAATGGCTAGCCTCTGAAGCCTTGTTGAAATAAATTGACTGGAGGGCAGTAATTTCAAGTAATTTATCTGATCCAGAAAAGATGGTACAAGAAATGTCTTGATTTAGTAATGCTCCACAGTGAGCATTATCAGTATTCCTGATGCTACTCCAATAATCTTTTATCACACACCCATAAAAATGCTGAAGCAATTTGCATATTTCCACTAAACAGAAAAAAAAATATGAGATTTACATGGTGGATGAAGTCATATCACACAATACTTTAAGCTTGTTTGTATTTTAATGATGATTTACCACAAAGCTTTCCAAACTTTTAATGTGGGTGACATTTTTTAGACATGCAGTATTTGAATACACCGTAATTCAGTTTTACTAGCAAACTGGAGGTTAAACTAATCCCTTTCCAGCCCTGGGAGGAACACAGGGAGCATTCGTGAAACACACCTACAGCAGTCAACACACTAACATGTCACAACACACAGAGTTTGGAAAGCTCTGATTTACTGCATATTTTCTCAATCTCTGAGTGTAGGAAAACTGGATGTGAATGACAAGGAACTGGATGTTGCTATTGCTTTGGTGCTCTTTCAGCAACTCAGTCAGCCAGGCCTTTTGTAAAATAAAGTACCAGTCTGGATGGAGAGTGGGTTTGACCTAATAAATTGGTTTTAGTTCCTTAATCTGTTAAATGTGTGTACATTAGTCACTAAGAGAATGTAGATGGTAACACAATGTATCCACAGTGGCAAAACGTGTTATATGTTCTCGCGCAAACACCTGCTACATTGTGTACTTGCAATGCCAACAGTTTTAATTTGGTCCATAGCTGTCAACTTTCAGATTTGAAAATAAGGGATCAGCAGCCTCACCTGTCCCAGGCACTCCTGTCTTTCCCTGCCTCCGGCAGTTTGGTCAAACTCATGCTGGTAACTTCAAGAACACTGTCCAACCATCTCGTCCTCATGGTTCAATGTTACTAGTAAGCAAAGTTTCCCAGTCAGGATTTGAATCTTGGTCCTAACATTTGGGGTTAAGTTTCTATTTAGCTGTCCATTAATACTGACAAACCGTATCGCCCATTCATCTCTCAGATCCCCTTGTAAATCTAAAGTACTGGCCTCACCTCATCCTGCGGTAAAAAATTTCCCCAAGTTAATTATACATTGTGTGAAGCTACAGCATTCCTACTATCAGCTTAAGTGACACATTCTCTCTCTCTCTCTCTCTCTCTCTCTCTCTCTCTCTCACACACACACACACACACACACACACACACACACAGAGAGAGAGAGAGAGAGTAAAGCCCGTCCGAGGCAAAGGCCCAAAGGCAGAAAGCCCAGCCAGGAACCAAATGAAGCCTCAAGTGGTGGTTCCCACAGGGCAGCCACCCGGCAAAGGGATACAGCAGCAAGGAAAACCACACTGTCACCTCTCCGTTGGGAAGCGCTGAAGCAAAGGCGAGTCCCCAGGCAACGCAGCCGATTTGATCGGCACAAGGCATGCAAGCTCCACCCCCCAGTTGTTCTCAGACTCCTTATTGGTGAGCAATGCAGCTGAGCAACGCAGTTAAGGAGCCTCCCTGGCCAGCAGGGAGGGAGAGGAGCTGCTTCCTTTGAAATCCGGGAAATTTATGGGATATCAACAATCTGGGATAGCAGCGGGAAACGGCACTGGAATAAGGGAGTTTCCCGCCAAATAAGGGAAGGTTGACAGCTATGATTTGGTCTGAATTCGAACTGTATTCCAACAGCATGGCTGCCTCTGACAAGGCAAACTGCACGTCCATGCTCTGAATTGTTAGCTACTTATATGGTTTGGGTCGTTTCTAACTGAACAATAAATTCCTGGAAAATTGAATGGGTCTCTGGTGTGAACTAGAAGGGTGCCCCTGCATATCATGCAGAGCTGTACCCACACAGTTTGCCTTCAGTTAACACTGGCCATTGATTCATGTTTATTTAATAAGATTCCAAGAGTGCCTAGGGAATATCTCTTCACACAATACTGTGTAAACTCATCAATGCACAACAAAATTCCACCAAAGTCTTGAATATTAGTCTTATAGCTACAATATTATGCAAAGTGCTATGTGTGTAAGTATTCAGCAAATGGTGTGATTCCATCCTAACATGCTGCCTGTTGGTGTCCTGTACATGATTGGTCCCTAGTCTTGCTTCTACCACATCCCTGTACTATGAAATGCCTTTGTGCCATGCCACATCCAGTAATGTTGATTGTTGTCAGCCTAATAGTACCAACCAATGACAGTGCACCAGATATCCAGCTCTTGATGCAACAGTTATTGTTTTGCCCTATTCTAACTACTATTTTCTAACTACTATAAGTGTGTTGTCAGGACATTAGGCTATGAACCTAAACACACAAGAGGAATTCACCTAATGAGTCCTGTCAGCACAAGTCCTGTATGAGAGCTTTCACTTGTGCAATGGGTTTTTCTCACCCCACCCCTTGGGGCCCCCTAAAATTTGCTTTGGATGCGTTGGGGGAACCCCCAGAACACTGTGCTAGGGGGGATCATTCTGTCTGACGAGCTTCAATGTTTGTGCTGACAGGACTTTCACTGTAGTGTGACACTGAATTCCACCCCTGCATTTCTATTTACATAAGTGGGGCATGATGCCTTTTAAATATGATTAAGAGTGAGACATTAGGTATATAAAAATTCAGTACACTATGGGAAAAAACCCACGTTAATAGTTACACACACACACACACACACACACACTATATATATATATTGTATTTTATCTTTTTATTATTGTTAGCAGCTTTGGGAGCCTAGTGCAGAGGATATAAATAAATAATGATGAAATGCTTTTATTCATCCCACTAAGAACTATACAACATGCAAGAGTGTAAGTTCCCATCACAATAGACAATGTAAACATTGTAAGGTAAGAATAAATGAGTAGCATGTAGACACATTTGATGGCTAAAGATAAACTTCTGAAATTACTGAAAGGGAAAAAAAATGTTTTTTGTAAGCCAGGTATTTTTCTGTCATTTGTCTCCTCCAAGTTCTAAGCAGACCAAGCCCTTCTAGAATGTTTTTATTCACCTCATGGGACATCAAATCTATGCTCCAAAACTATATAGCATAAAGTAAATTGAAACAGAATTATTTTGTTTTCTAGGAAATTGCCTGATGTACAGATGATGTTGATGATGATAATAATGATAATCCGGTTTAAAAATTAAAATTAAACAATGTGCCTTTACCCCTTCAAAGCTTTGCTGCCTGCTATTTGTGTTGCAGTTACTTTCCTTTTCAGTTTTAACAGCTACATTGTCTTATTTTTTTCTCAAATAAGGGGCTTTCTTTGCCAAAAACGTCTACCTCTACCAGTTTAGCACAATTGCAATTATTTTATCAGCTAAAGAAAAGATCTGCTACCCAAGACTTGACTTACATTTCTATAGCTTATTTTTCACAGTTATTCCGTTTTCTATTCTGCAAACAAGGAAGCCATGTAGAGAGGTTTGTCTATATGTGCCAGCCGGTCACAACTTTCGTTGACTGTGTTGTGTTTCTGGAGAGCTCTAGAAAAAACAAACATGACAGGTTCTTACGTAGACCATCAGCACAAATTATGTTCACATTTTCATTAGAATTCTTGCAAGCTCTGGATTCATGTCTGGCTGCATATGTGACATAACTTGAATAGATATAGACATATTTGAGTAATTGGTTTGAATTGCATTGTATATTGATTTGCTTCATCTTAGATATTACCTTTCAAATTGCTGAACAGAAAAAAAAAGAATAATATGCAGACCAGTGCGGAAGGGAGCAGCCAGGTACACTTGCTGCAGGCCTCAGAGAGTTAAGCTGGCCAGGGGCCTACTGGACTTACACTGTCATGCCAAGAACAAGACTCCTACTCCATGCCTTGGACAAGCTCTACTCAGGCCAGAGAATATGCATCACTGGAACTACTACAGCATTTCCCTTAGGTGATTGAAGAGTTTGACCTTAAATAAATGTATGTTTTTTGTATACTGAAATGAAGTGATCTCTTTCTATCTAAAAAGATTAAATAAAACGTATATTTCAATTGTGATTATAAAATTATTTTGACCAGTTACCTTCTGCATACTGGGGGAAAATAGAATTGCCACAATGTCAAGCAAGTACATGCCATATTTAAAATATATTTTATTTCTCTGTTTTCTTCCTGCAAAAGACATGGCTGACAACTATATGCTCGGGCAGCTGCCTTACTCTGTCAAGGGACAAATTATCAATAACTGAGTACTGTGCTAAACAAAGTGAACATTTTAAGCATTGTGATGTTTCGTGTGTTCACCCTGTCATTGTTGACAGATTCTATTGATTTTTTCTTGGGACCTTTTTATTGATTCTTCTTTTTAAAAAATTAACACACCTAGAAAAAAATATTGAACTGGAATGTCTCACATACAACTCATCCAATATGAAAATGAAATGCACACAGCAAACTAGAATAATATCACAATGTCTGCCTTAGTAATAATACTGGAAGTAACACATCAGTTACATATTATTTGATATTATGTATTTTATATCACACACCCCCATTCAATCATCTCATTCAAGGCATGTAGACATTTTTGAAGAGTCTAGAAGGAAAAGTATTTTTTTTCACAAGCTGATTCAGCACTAATCTCACCTTATCCACATCAATGTTCCCTTAATAATCATTATGATACACTGATTCTGATGGGAGCTGTAAATAACATATTTACTCAAATGTAATGTGCACCTTTTTTAGCCAAATTACCGTGCATCATGAAAATTAGGGTGCACATTACATTTGATGGTGCATTTGTGTAAATACGGCAATTTACTCTATTTTAACACCAGGTAACTCTGTAACTGTTCTGATGATCCAGAAAAAATATTTTTTGTTGTTATTGTTAATTTATAAACCTGTATATATGCAGAATATATATATATATATATATATATATATATATATATATATATATGAATGCAAGATAAAGTAACCAAGCTCTGCTTAAGTCAGAGGCGTATGCATTAGTAAGCATATAAAGAACTGGGGCACAAATAAGTATAGACTTCAGGCTTTGATAGCCAACAAATCTGCCAAGCTGCTTACTTTTAATCAGGCATGACAGAGGCCTTAATACCTTTTATTGTAGTCATTATGCTACCTGTCCATCTCCATCTCTATACCTTCCCACCTGCCTTCTCTCTCACAAATCCCCAGTCCTTTGCCCTTTTACTAAGGTTTACAGTGATTAACTGATGGGCCGTGCGTCCTGCCATCCACAACATTTATCCATTTGTGGCCGTTTGTGGGCTATCATTTGATTTTAAGAGAACTTAAATCACCATTACTATTAATATTATTATTTGATATATTTATTTAAACGTTCTAAACTGTTACAAGTTCAACTGGCTGCTGATTTCCACACCTGCCCAAATCTTACTCACAAGATGTCTGACTTCCTTTCTTTGTAAAGGAGCCTGAAAAGTACTAAACAAAAGCCTCTGTTAACAGGCCTGGTTGCAAAGGACAAAACAAGAAGAAAGCAACCAAGGAAAGAGAGCTTTGACCACATTATTCAGGCACTGTTAGCTTTCACAATGCATGCACGATAGGGGCCTCCCTCGACTATTCTCTCCTTCTCTAACCAACATATCAGCCCCTCAGATACTCAAAGCCTGGGGTCCTGCTAGTTGCAACAATGCAAGCACCCATGACAGCAGTGCAAAATGAAAACCCTCATTAAACCCTTTGGTGCTCCAGTATGGTGCTTTTACGTTATATAGATGTGGAGAAACAGGAACGTTCTGATCCTGAACATGGTTTACTGGGAAACAAATACAAATGATTTGAAGGGGAATCACTTCAGGTCGCCTTACCTCAGTGAGGATAGTATGGAGTTGGAAAAGGTTCAAAAAAGGGCAACCAGAATGATCATAGGGATGGAGCAACTCCCCTATGAGGAGTTGGGGCGTTTAGCTTAGGAATGATAGGTAAGAGGTGACATGGTAGAAATGTATACAATTATGCATGACATGGAGAAAGTGGATAGAGAAAAGTTTTTCTCCCTCTCTCATAACACTAGAACTCGTGAACATATAATGAAACTGAATGTTGAAGGATTCAGGACAGATGAAAGAAAATGCTTATTCACACAGTGCGTAGTTAAACTGTGGAATTTGGTCCCACAGGAAGCAGTGTTGGTTACTACCTTGGATGGCTTTAAAAGAGTATTAGACAAATTATGAGGTAAAGTCTATCAGTGGTTACTAGCCATGATGGCTATCAGAGGCTGTATGCTTCTGAATACCAGTTGTCGGAAACTGTAGAAGGGGAGGGTGCCTTTGTGCTCCAGTCGTGCTTGTGGGCCTCCCAGAGGCATCTGTTTGGCCACTGTAAGAACAGGATGAACTAGAGGGTTGGATTCTCTGTTGACTGCAATGTAATGTAGATGAGCAGAGAATATGCCTTAAACTTTGAGGAGACAGTCTAAGGCATTCATAATGCTGGAGGCAGATATTTCAACTGGTGCCCCTCATAGCAATAAAAACAAACCGATTCTATATTTGCCTTGCCCTGTATCCAGAAAAAAAAAGTGTTTCCTGAAGTGAGGTGCTTCATTCTGTCTAAGGTTCTATAAATGGTATTGCATATTCTTTGGATTTTTAAAATTGGTTTTGCCAGCTGTGTGCATGGTAAGCTGTTGTTTTACAGTTCTTAGGTTATGTTTTTGTTTTGATAATATACTGGGGATTTTTAGTCTGTTCATTGCAGCAATGAAGTGAAGCTACAGGCAGAGGACCTTCTCGATAGTGGCGCCCGCCTTTGGAACACCCTCCCATCAGATGACAAGGAAATAAACAACTACCTGACTTTTAGAAGACGTCTGAAGGCAGCCCTGTTTAGGGAAGTTTTTAATGTTTGACGTTTTAGCGTGTTTTAATTATTAATATTCTGGGAGCTGCCCAGAGTGGCTGGGGAATAAATAACAAATTATTAATTAAATATTATTATTAAGCCTGAACCCGGCTTCGGCTGGGGAGGGCGGGATATAAATAAAAAAACTATTATTATTATTACTACTACTACAATTCTACGGTTACTGAAGTGATTTTTGAAATATTACGTGACATATAAACCACACCCCAGCAGGGAGGCTACTACAGTGGCTCCCCACCCAGCAGGAGAATCCCCCCTGTCTGAGATGCTGGCTTTCATGGTCTAATCCCCTGACCCCTTTTAGACACAGGTACTGTATTTGACTTCACCTAATTCTAAAGGGCTGCTGCGTTTGAGGCCTTCGTGGCTTGTTCGACTGACTTCTCTCCCCCGAGGTCCTGCCCTGAGGGCGCTCCTGACGGTCCTGAGTGAATAACGGAGGCTGGTGGGAGTCGTGAGGAGAAAGAGTCCTACAGGTTGTGTGTGTGAGGAAGACAAAACTTTAGCGGCCGTGGGGAAGCGATAATGTGCGGAAGGAAAGGAAGCGAAGCGTGTGAGAAGTCGGGATGGGCGAGAGCCCAGGGGAAGCCAATTCGGATCAGCTGCCAGAACCGTAAAGCGAAGAGGAAAAGGGATAACGCAAACGCCGTTTGTGTGTGTGTTTTAAAGTAATCCCTGAGGCAGAAAGCAGCCCTTCTCTTTTCTGCCCCGCTCACTGGCTACTGAGAATGCCGATCAGTTCTGTTGCTCGGATACAAATCCTCCCTCTCGCCCGCCCTCGCTTTCTGTCCGCCTCCATCCTTAGCCTAGATAGGACCGAGTGGGCGGGGACTAGTCCTCGACACGCTCGAGGGCGCCGAGGGGGAGGGGATTGAATGGCTCCCGAGCTGAGCCCGCTGCCTGGCCGCCGTTGCCGCCTGTGGGGAGTAGACTGGGAGCCCCGCGCCCGCTTGCTGTAGTCGAGCCAGATGGAATGTGGCGCGCGCGCGAGGTATGCCGCGGGGGCGAGGATTAGAACGCGAGAGGGGAAGCGCGCGCCCACCCAAAAGCCCTTATTTTGAGAAGAAGCGCCCGTTGGCGATGCGGTTGAGGGAAACCGTAGGGAAGAGAGGAAAGGCGGCGGGGTGGGGGTGGGGGGCTGGAGAAGTGGTTTTAATTCGAAGCGTGTTGCTCCATGGCTTGGGAGCGGAGGCGGCCCGGCGTCTTCCCCCGCCCACCTTCCTTATCCATCTCATAATCCCGAAGAGTTTTGCGACTGGGGAGATTTAAAGCGAAATGGTCACTCGATGCTTCCCGCCCGGAGAGTGAGCGAGAGAGCGCCTTCATAATCCCCCGAGGCCCCCCTCACACGCCCCGCCTCGCGTGGGTTTAGCGCCACTCGGAGACCCTTCATGCGGTGTGAGGGGGACGAGGCTCGCCGACCCGGGTCAGACTGACATGAGCGGTATCTGTTTCTTGGGGCCAGCGAGTTGTGTCGCCTTGTCTTTCGGGACGGCTGCCCGCTTGATATATACGGCGTAACTCTCAGAAAGAGTTGAGACTCTCCTTCTCCCGCTCCCCTCCTTCCCAGACAAAGTGCTGGGAGGGGAGAGAGGGAGAGGCTGCGCCCCACCCCCCTCCCCTCACCCCATATACACATACATTAAGTCGCCCCCGGGGAATTCGTGACCCGCTTTGCTGGCTGCTTTCTCCATTCTGGAACTGGCGGTTGTTTAAAGGGAGAGATTTGCATCATTCTTCAGGCTGTCTTCCTCCCACTCCAGATCGAAGTTCCTTTATTTTGCTTTAAACCGGGCAAAGGGCTCGACCGCTCCATCTGGCTTAAGTGTGCAAATCTCTAGCCCTGAAAGCAGGTAAACCCACAATCGTTAAGATATTTAGTGTTGCTTTCTGTGGGTTTGTCTTTTCTTCTTTTAATACAACCAACCTCTAAAGAAATTTACTTAGGGTTTTGGTTTGTGTGAGATTAGGATCCTAGATAACGTTTTTAATTTTTGAAGAAATAGTTTGTATGTGTTTATTGACTCGGTGTGTGTGTGTGTGAGAGAGAGAGAGAGAGAGAGAGAGAGAGATCCCCTAAGCTTTGAAATCTAGGTCCCCCTTTAGCTCCCTAAGAAGACTACACATAATTATGTTTTTAAAACTACTCTGTTCTTCCTTTTGTTGGGTGAGTGAGGGGTTGGTGGTTTTAGTTGCCTATTCTGCCTTTGTGCTGAGAAAATGGAGCAAGTGAAGGCTAGCTAGTGGTGAAGCAAAAAGTGAAGAAAAGTGTTCTCTAAAACTGTCAAAGTATGCAGAATGTTAAGATAACTTGCTGTATCAGGATAAAATCCTGATTCACTAGAGAACAAATTTGTTTATGATACCCAGTTATCTGAGTGTGTGACTGGACAACCGTAGTTCACTTTTTTTGGAGGTACTATTAAAAACAGACCTATTTAGCAGGCACAAAGCATTCTGGGTCAATTCAGACACGATGCCAATTAAGGTAAACTTAATTGGTTAAGCATGTCTGAATGCGATCATGGTTTGCCAGCTGTTTGCCAGCCACCTTCAGAAATCATGGTTTGGAGTGGTTCACCAGCCAAGATCTGTGTTAATGGATGTTTGATGCAATGTCTGAATTCAAAAACCATTATGACGATTGCTCTATTTCCTAAGGCTGCTGAACCATAGAGATGGTAGTGAGTTTATGAAGCTATGATGGTGAGTGCTGGGTAGATGGACAGTGAAAGTAAGACAGTAGCTTTCAGCCATGGTTTGCTTTCTAAACTGGGTAGTGCAAAACATGTTTGGTCATCATGTTTGAACTGAGCCAGTGGATTTTTTTTTTTTGGCAGTGTTGGATCATTGGGACTTTAACACTCAACATCTGTATTGCTTTCTCTACAATCATTTCAAACACCCGAAGCCAAGGGAATGGTTTACTATGGGGTATGTGCAAATCTACCAAAAGTAGATGCACCCTTCTACGATTTAAAAAGTGGCAAACAACTTTTAACACCTTTAATAGTTAACATATTAATACCTTGTATGCTCTCTCTTGTGCTCATCTGTTGCAGTTAGACTCCCATGGGATGTGTACATTTGATGCTGAAGTACTCAGAAACATAAGAAAAATAAATGCTAAGTGTATGTGCTTGCCCATTAGTATAAAAAACAGTATGTTGTAGCTGTTGGTGACATCAATAGCAGACCGCACAGATTGATGGTAGAGCTAATGCATGAGCACTGTAGATGGATGAGTGCATCTCCCAAGGCACTGTAACAGATATGCCAACATGATCTGTGGCTGCTTTGACATAGTGAGACATTTCCTTTCAGCAGATTTTACTGTCCTCCTCATGTGTGCTCAAATAAAAGTAGTTTGAAGTTGGTTAGTCAGCATTTTAGGAAGCTTGAGGAAAACCATACACAAAGCTATGAAGTAAGGAAGGTATTGATACTTCTGATTTTCCCCCCCAAGTCAGGAAAATGTCATAGAGATGCTGCCTTGATTTGATTAATAGATCTGTGTGAATAGATGCCTTGGCTATTAGGTGGAGTCCTTGTTTTGGGGAACAATGTGACCTACTCTCAGATAGAACCTGGAGCATTAATTCTAAATACAGTAGTAAAATTGGGGAGCAAATAGTAAAAGTTATTTTTTACTTGCTATAATTAGGAATAATCCTTTGTTAATCATTATGCATTCTTGGCTGTCTCCTGCCTCAGAAAAAATACTTTGGCAATTCCACCTGCCACTGAATGCAATGTGTTTTGACTATACACAATTTTGGCTTTACGCTGTATCCTGGAACGTAACCACTGCCTAAGTTGAGAATCGCCTGTACTACATTTATTTTTCAAATTATTTGAACAAAGGTAGGGAATCATAAAGGCTGTTATCAGTGTTATATGTTCTTGGTTTGTTTAACAAACCCTGATTCAAGAGATCTTAATTCTTTGGCTGTGGTAGTAAGAAGGTAAAATATGCAGAATATCATAGAAACTAGTTTCTATACTGTGATGTCAGCTTTGTTAGACTGTTGCCGTATGCTAAGTAAACCAGCTAATGTCTAAGGCTGCAGTTCTAAACCCATTTACCAGAGAGTAATTCCCATTGAACTGAATGGGTTTTACTTCTGAGTAGATATATATAGGCATGCAGTATAATAAATGTGCACCACTTGTCTTAAGGTCAGTGACGCAAGCTATCTGGAAAGTTTTGAATTGGAATACAGTCATACCTCAGGTTACAGACGCTTCAGGTTGCGTTTTTTCGGGTTACGGACCGCCAAAACCCGGAATTACCGGAATGGGTTACTTCCGGGTTTTGGCGGTCGCACATGTGCAGAAGCACTAAATCGCGCTTTGCGCATGTGCAGAAGTGCCAAATCACAACCTGCGCGTGCACAGACACGCCATTGCGGGTTGCGAACATGCATCCCGCATGGATCACGTTCGCAACCCAAGCGTCCACTGTATGTAGTCAACAAAACTAAAAAAGTATGTTTTGTTAATCTTGTGTTTATCTGAAAAGTTTTTGTTACTGCAAAAAACAAAAACTGAAATATCATTAGGGGGAAAGTTAGGGGAAAGAGTGTGGATGAAATGTAATATTCAAAGTGTTATTAGAATACTAGTAAATATATTTATATGCCAACTGAATAGAATGTACTTTTTACATTGGGGTCACTGATGTTGTGCCCTCAAGGTGTTTTGAGCTACAACTCCCTTCAGCCCCAGCCAGTTATACCAATTGTCAGGGATGCTGGGAGTTGTAGTCCAAAACATTTGGAAGGCTCTATGTTGGCTCCCTCTGCTTTACATTATACACACACATACATATACATACAGTACACTCCTACATCACTCCTCCAAGCTCAGTGGAATTTGGTTCCTAGTAAGTGTGCTTAATTCTTCAGCCTCAGAAAGTGTTCAACACTTTTAGCATACTAATTTTAGCATGCCTAAAGAGCTTTATGCATAAATATATGTGCTTCCTAGGAATAGTCACCTGAACAAAAAGAGTTTGGCTTTAGATCTGTCTGGCATTTTATCTACTCCTGTTGTTCAGTTCAACTTGCATTGTGTTCCTGTTTTAACTGCATTAATGGTTTATTGTTATGTGAATGTGTCTTTGGCTTGTGCCCCCCCCCCCTTCCTTAGATGCAGCTGTGCGAAGGAGATCAGAAGCTTTTCCTTCTGTTAACAGCTAACAGCATTTTAGTATTAGTTATAAACGTGGACAAACTGTGATTAATTTTAACTGTGGAAGCAAGTTCAGGAACTATGATTTGAACTTGGTTTGTTTTAGTAAGCCGCAGTAGTAACATCAATTTGTTCAAGTTCAGATAATCACCTCTCCCCCATGCCTGATGATGTTGTTTTTTTAAAACCCATTAATGTGTAGTTAAGCTGTTAGAAGAATCACAAAGCTTTTCCTATGGCCACCTAATAGGACATGCGAGCAGTCATCAGTGGCAAGGGTAATTGTTTTAACTTTTGTCTGCTTAGATACCCAAACCTGCTTGAGAACAGATTTGGATGGCAGGTTCAGCAGCACTGATAGTGTGAACACAAAGTGGAATATGAAATAGCAAAAGGACTATGTTTCAGGGCATGGTCAGAATGTATGCAAAGCAATAACAGTACTAAAGCAAAACAGTTTTGGTCCTTATCAGTGCTTTGTTAAGTGCACATTCCAGCTAGGCAAAAATACTTAAGGAGTGTATGAAGCAGGGGTGGGGCCTTGGAAGAGGATGTGGCTGAGGAGAGGGTGGGGCCTGAGGAGAATCATGTGGGCCAGATAATGAGGACTGTATCACCTAAGGTAGCTTTTTTTTAGGAAGACCCCAAAATTGTTGAGCTTTTTTGAGCTGTTTCCACTGCTTTTCCCATCACATTTTCATACATTTTTACATCCGAAAACCAGCACATGCCAGGAATTTTCCTGACGTATGGTGAGCCTAGTATCACCACATTTGGCCCCCAGGCCTGAGGTTCCCACCACTTCTGTACATGCTTGTCTGGGATTAAGTCCCACTGAATTTAGTGAAATTACTTCTGAATAGATTACACTGTTTCTCTGCATTATAGTCCACAAAATATTGTGCCATAAGAAATTTTTTAAGTCTTATGGTGCTTTGTTGCAACAAAAGCAAGCATACATAGGTACAGTGGTACCTTGGGTTAAGTACTTAATTCGTTCCGGAGGTCCGTACTTAACCTGAAACTGTTCTTAACCTGAAGCACCACTTTAGCTAATGGGGCCTCCTGCTGCTGCCGCACCGCCGGAGCACGATTTCTGTTCTCATCCTGAAGCAAAGTTCTTAATCTGGAGCACTATTTCTGGGTTAGCGGAGTCTGTAACCTGAAGCGTATGTAACCCGAGGTACCACTGTATTCTTCTGAAAATTGATTTGCCTTACCTGTCTTGGCTTATGTTTTTAGGATTTTGGCAACATCTGTTTGAGTGAGTGGTAATTAAACAGGTGTTAGAATACTTTTTTTATGATGCTGATTTTTTTAAAAAAATATTTATTTATATTTTTATACCTCCTTCCCACCTTTTTCTGCAATGAGCTCATCTAATCTCCCCTTTCTCATCTAATCCCCCACGACAACCCTGTGAGGTGAGTTGGCCTGAGAGGCAGTGGCTGGCCTGAGGTCACCCAGTGAGCTTCATGGCTGAGTGGGGATTTAAACCCTGGTCTCTCAGGTCCTAGTATAATAATACCTTTATTGTCAATGTATGACCTGTGTACAATGAAATTCAACAGATTGAATTCCCTTCTCTTGTATACAAGGACATCTCTTTCAACTTTCCAGAGGTGTTGGATTACTTTTTGAAGCCTTTATAGATTTCATA